CCCTACCTCCTGGTCCTGGACAACCGGGGCGACATGGTCTTCCACCTGCGGCTCAAGGACAACATCTCCATGGCGGGGCGGGCCAACTTCGACATCAACGCCAATGGCCACATGGTCTTCGGCCTGTCGGAGGTCGACAAGAGCTACAGATTCGTCCGCAAGAACACCGCACCGCACGGATACACAGCCGACTGTGAGTGAGGCCACACCCCACCCCACCCCACCCCACCACACAACGATGAGTGGGTGGGTGGGTGGATGGATGGATCGATGGGCTGCTCTTCGTTGTTTCTCTCAGCGCATGACTTCAAAAAGCTTGCTTCAGGTGAGGGCGTGGCGGTTGCTGTCGCGTGTGGTGTGGTGTGGTGTGGGGAGGTGTGCGAGTGCGATGCGCTCTTCCCATGCATACTTAATCAATCTGTGTGTGCGTCAGGCGGGTCTCTCTTTCTGCACAAGCTTCGCGAGATTGTCTGGCACAAAGGCCACCAAGTGCCGCTGCAGGTAGCAGCCGTCACCGAAACCGATAGGTCCGTCCGTCCGTCCAAACACACTCCCAGCCCGGCCGGCCCCATGAGCACAGACCTGCCTGCTTCTGTCTGTCTGTCTGTCTGTCTGTGTGAGTGCTCTCAGGAAGGGCACTGTGATCTTTGAGTGGCGTGCGTGGGACCACTACACCATTGATGAGCTCATGCGGTTCTCCATCGTGCTGCAGTCCGCAGGGCCCAGCCAAAGACGCAAGTCCGACAAGATGCACCCCAACTCGGCCTCATTGACCCCCGACGGCCACCACTGCTACTCCTTCAGACAAATGGGTGGGTGGGCGCGTGTGTGGTGTGCCTTTCGCGCGCCATCCGGATGGGCCAAAACTGCCAGCGCATAGAGACCATCCATCCCATATACCTCTTTGTGTGTAGGAGTGGTCAAGGTGAATCGCAACACGGGCGACGTGATATGGCGGTTCGGCGGCAGCACGGCCAACAACCAGTTCCGGTTCGTTAACGACCCGCGGGGCTTCGCGCACCAGCACGACGCCAAACTCACCAAACCCAACACAGTCATCATGTTCGACAACCGTAAGCAACAGAGAGAGCACACAGGACCTTAAACCCTCCCCTCCTCCCTCCCCTATGTGTGTGGTCAGATCCCTACGCTTATCCCAAGAGGGGTCCGTCGTATTCCCGCATGGTCGAGTACACTCTCGACCCGGTCAAGATGACGGCCCGCAAGACGTGGGAGTACGACGCCGGCAAGAACATCTTCTCGCTCGGCAACGGCGCCGTCAACGCGCTCCCTAACGGCAACAGGGGAATCGGTACGTACGTGGCTATCCATGTGTGTGTGTGTGTGTGTCTGTGCCCATCGATGGCGATCGATGTGTGGATCGGATGGGAGGCTGGGCGGCTCTCTCACTTCACTCGTGTGTCTGTGGGGACATGGCATGTGTGTGTCTCAATCAATCAGCGTGGGGCGGTCTGGGTTTGAGCCCTCCCATAGCGCAGGGCGCCACCACCCGGTGGAGGCCCCTCGCAGACCCACTCTACACCGAAGTCACGCCATCCGGTATGTATACACACATAAAAGACACACAAACACACAGAGACACAACCACACCAACACGCACCGGTCCATGTCTGTCTGTGTCTGTCTGTCTGTCTGTCTGTTCAGGCGAGAAGGTGTTGGAGATGTATTTCGAGGACGGCGCGGCCTCCCAGCAGGTGTACAAGGTCCCCACTCACCAGTGGCGCGCCACACCCTTCTGGCCCCCAACCGCACTCATCGCCAAGCACGGCCACCCACACCACGGCCAACCGTCGTCCCGCCTCCACTTCAGCTGGAACGGCGCCACCACCGTGAGGTTCTGGCGCGTCATGGTGGCCAAGAAACGGGCCCAGAGTGCGTGGCGCAAGTTCTGGGAGGGCCCGAAACACCAGTTTGAGCAGTGGGTGGATGTGCCGGAGACAAGCGGGGCGTGCGCGTTTTACCGGGTGGAAGCGCTTGACGGCAAGAGGCGGGTGCTGGGGGTGTCGAAGCAAGTGGCCACGGAGGGGTGCCGGAAGTGAATGGACGGACAACTAACTGTGGGTAGGTGGGTCGGTGGAGTGGGGGTTGGTGTGATGTGAGCGTCGCCACTCAGTCACGAAGTCGGGGTGTCGATAGATAGATGTGATGATAGTGGTGCCTGCCTGCCTGCCTGCCTGAATACGTGTGTGTGCGCTGATGCGTGTGGATGGACGGACGGTAGATCAGATAGAGTGGCTGTTGAACGAACTGTCTTTCTCTTTATGGGTGGATGATGCCTGGGTGGCTGGGCTGCCCAGCCAGCCATTTCGATCCTCATTGGCCTACGGGGCACTCACTCATACCATTTGTAAGTGTGCATCTGTCTGTACTGTGGACGGACGTAGCGCCTGCCTTCCTGGGGGTTTGCGTGTATCTGTCTGTCTGGCGTGCGGGATGCATGTGTGTGTGCGTGTGCAGAATGCGCCTCCACATACACTACACCACACCACAGCACACTTCAGCGAGATTCGCTGCTGTATTTGTCCATCTCTGACATGCATGTGTGTGTGTGTGTGTCGGTGTTTTTGAGAGCCAAGTGCGGCGGCGGGTACGGTGCATGGGTTCGCGTGATGGACGGAGACAGGGGGACAAATGGGTGGGTGGTGTGGTTGATAATGGATGGATCGCTGCCTCGCTGGATGGATGGATGGCTGGCTGGCTGGAGGTGCCTTCGTGTGTCGGCGTGTGCGCCACCCACTCCTGCACACGTGTAGTCTGAGGATTATAACAAGTGACTGACGAGAATGTGAAGAGATCTTCACTCACCCTGTGGTGACTACACACTGACGTACATATGTGTGTGTGTTTCATTCATTCAGTTGGCCATCGTCCATCAGACCGGTCGGCCGATATATAGACATTTAAGAATTCTATGTATCGACAGACGCACAGATAGACAGACAGACAGAGACAGTCATGCCGGCACGACAAACACATGCGCACGCATCAATCCCTCCCTCCCTTAAGCAGAGCCCTCGCTTGGTACGTACGTGCGGGAAGAGCGACCCACACATACATAGGCAGGCAAGCAGGAACGACACACACAGAAAGGCAGGTTTACACGCAGACGACGCAGCGCCACCCACACACGCATCAGTCCGTCTATCTATCCCTCTTCGCACGCAGAGGCAGTGTGTCCGTCTAGACAGCAGGCGTGTAGGTATGTTATGTACACACAGAGAGAGAGATGGATACATACAGCTGTAGTAACCCCCCTCTCTCCGTCCCCTCGGTTGGTTGATTCTTCTACGGCTAGCTAAGAGCGGCAGATCAGCAAGTGTGTTAGGTGTAGTCGCAGTAACACTCCCCTTGGCAGATTGAGGACGTGCAAAACTTGCCCCACATGCACCTTGAGGACAATTCGGGGCCGGTGCAGGGGTTTGGATGTCTGTCCCGCATGCACTCCTCCTTAGTCTTGAGCGACGAGCAGTCGAAGTCGCCCTTCATGCCTACAGACAGGTGAGCCCACCCACATAGACAGACAGCACAGACAGACAGAGAGTGAGGGAGGGAATGCAACCGAAGCTTAGATGTATTATCTGCATTGCATGCGGACACACATCTGTCTGTAGTGTAACTGTGATGCTGTGGAGCCGTTGTTGGGCGTTGTTGATGGTCTTGAGTGCCGTGTGTGCCATCGTCTGAGCCGTCTGTGTCATCGTTAGCGCCGCAGCCATCGTGTTCTTGGCGTGAGCCACCTGCTGCTTCACGACCGACAGCTGGAACTGATGGCCAGAGACGCCTGCACACAAACACACATTGCACACACCGTACGGCAACACAGATCCATCCATCCATCCATCCATCCATCCATCCATGCCGCCACGTGCGCAGTGCATTCACCTCGCACCAGCTGTGTGTGTCGTGCATGGCTGCCGCGCACACCTTTGCTGTGGGTGCGGGCGGTCTGCAGGCGGGAAATCTCGTCAGTGCGGTCCACAAACGATGCATCTGCACACAGCGGACGGGAAGGTCAGCCACATATGGCTCAGGAGTGATGTATACTGTGAGGGTCGGATAAATGGGACGCTGCTTATATGGGAAAATCGTTATATGGGAAAATCCCATTTAACCGTTTACTTTGTGGATGTTGCACATTTACAAGCAGGTGACATTCATTCATTGTGAGCCGTCGCAATGACCTGCATGATGTCCAGCGTGCCTCACTGATCACTGTGAACCAAATTTCACCGTCGAACACCCACAAACAGCCGAGATCGGGGCCGCCGAATTGGGGCCAGTGAATCACAAGAGAAGCAGCGATGCGAACAAGCAGCGGAGCACCATGAATGGCTCTCCTCTGAGCACAGCGTAGCATTTGCAGTGAAACAGCGACACAACAACCATTGTCAGACGCGCAGGAGGCCGCCTGCGGCCCTCCTCACCAGCGGAGTGAGGAGTGCTTCTACGGAGAGCCTCTCCGCCTCTCTCGACAGCCATAGACGTCACTATCGCATCGTCCGTCCCCCCTCTGCTCAGCGATGAGCTTCTTCGACGGCGTGCGGCGCGATGTACGTCTCGCGTACGGGCCTGGCAGTGGGCTGGAGAAGGTCTCCCGCGTGCTGCACCTCAGCACTGACCTCTATTGGCCAGGTGAGAGGACGGGCAGGGCGGAAACGGGATACACTCTTCAACAGGTTGATGTGTGCAGCTCCAGTCATTCAGCGCCTGATCAGCCATGTCGACACGACGTCGGCAAGCTCAATCAGACACATGCGGGAGGATAGGTGTATAGGCTGAAATACTGTGTCGCGGCCATCAGCACGGTGAGAGAAGGAGATGGCGGCAATGCGGCCAAACGAAGCATCAACACACCTGCCAGACAGACAGACAGACACAGGAGCACTCAGACGAGTACTGTAGAAGGTGTGAACAGGATAAGCAGGGGGGCGTTCATTCAAGATTTGACCGCTTGTTCGTTCGCATATGCACATAGCTATCAATCAATATACACAAATAGATAGAGAGATATGTATATATGTACACAGCTAGTCAGTCAGTCAACACGCGCACGCATCAGGCAGACGGCAGGTACGCAAACGACGCACCGCGACACACGCACGCGACACACTCACGCAGACAGCAAATCGTATATAAGCTCCTCTGGCCTATGAACGTGGGAGGGGCAGTGATAGGAATGCAGAGAATGAGATAGGCACGACAGACACACAGGCAGGCAGGCAGGCAGGCAGACAACGCAAACGACGCACTACCACACCCATCAGACACACGCACGCAGGCCGACACATACAGACAGGCAAGCACGCACACAGTGCATACGCACACGCCGTTAAAGGCCATCCATCCAGTGAGTGAGTGCTTAAACAATAGCCAGCCGTGGGTCGGTCGGGTCATTGGTTGGTTCGCTCAGCCCTCTTCCTCTCTCCCTCCCTTGTAGCTACCCCCGGACGTGCTTTCTCTCAGCCCTTCCCTTTGCTTTACACATCTGCTTTTACATATCTGTTGCTGTGTGCGTCTGTTCTAGAGAGAAGCGGGATGTGTCGGGCTAAAAATCTTATCACTCCGCCTCATTCAGTCTCTCCATCTCTCTGCTTCCCTCCTCGTCGTAGAGGTTGCAGATGCACCCTTTGTCTTTTGTCCACTTGCAGGCTGAGTGTCGTTCTTTGTTTTTCGCACACCCCTCCTCCCAGCCCATCCAGTTGTTGGTCAAGCAGCTACCGTGGTCCGTGTTCACACCGCAAGGGTTCTCCCCTGCACACACACACACACACACACACACACACAGGAAAGGAGGTGCTCCATATCTCCTTGCAAACACTTGCGTGGGCCAGATCTCACCTTTGAACTCCTCCCGGTGCGAGGATCCGCCTCATTTGCCCGTGTCGCCCGCCTCCTTGGAGGCCACGTGTTGCTGCAGCTGCTCGATGGAATTGAGTGCGCTCGTTGCTGTGGTCTTGGAGACGTTCCTCATATTGGTAAGCCCCCGATCCATCATGTTGGTAAGGTTCTTCACTTTGTTGTGGATGAGCGCCAGCTGCTCCTCGACGGACGGATCGCCAGCAGAGAACGCGCCACCGGCAGATGCAGCTGCACACACACACGCGCGCGCACAATGCATCCAAGCCGCACACATCCAAAGACACGTGCACACCTTTGTTGCTGTGGGTGCCTGCGGTCTGCAGGCGGAAGATCTCGTCAGTGCGGTCCACAAACGACGCACCTGCACACAGCGGACAGGAAGGTCAGCCAATATGGCTCAGGAGTGATGTATACGCCATAGATCTGATCAGATGCACCCACCAGTATGGCAGTCGTTGCCCTCGCAGTAGTCGCTGTACGTGGCCGAGGCCACAGCTACGGAACATACGGCCGCCAAGGCGATGAGGAACGCACACATGGTCATCACTCCCTTCATCCCCGCCAGCAACCAAATCGAAAACGCTCTTTTCCTGGACGACTGAGTGGGGGATTGGGAGCGGTTCCTATACAGCCGGCCAGATTTCGTGGAACCGAGAGCGGTTTCACGGAACTTTTCACATTCGTCAGCTCACTAGTGCCTACCGAGACCTGTCGATCTCTCTTTCTGTAAGCTGCTGCCCTTGCGTCGTTATTCGAATCGTTTCGTCCCCCCACTCATTCAATAACTTCCTGGCCATTCTCGAGTCAGTCTGTTTCTCGTGAGACCGTGTTCCTGACTGACGTGAAGGCAGGCGTGTGCTGGCTGCAGTCACCGCAGCCCCCTGATTGATGGATGTGACCACGTGCACACAAGCCATGCAGCCCTGGCCTGCAAACACATCTCTCACCCCTCCCGCTTGGCTTGCTCCCGCCTCCCCTTCTCTCTCTCACACACATGCGCACACGCGGTGCCCTCTCGTGGATATCCATGCGAGCAACTGTCGGCGTCCCGCATGTGCGCAACACAGAGAAATCACCTTCGATCTGCCTCAGACAGAAAGGGGGACCTGACCTCTTCTTACGCAGCGCAACAAACAGCGACAAATGCGACCACCGTTCGCTCGTTCGCTCCTCCATTGCTCTGTCTAGAGAGAGAGCATCACGCACATAATGATACATACATAGATACGTACACACAATACGCACACACACACACGCGCGGCCAGGTTGTCCATCTGGCTGCCCTCCCCTCCGTGTCTCTCTGCCCGGCTGCCTCCCCCTTCCTCCCTCCCTCCCCGTCCATCCATCCATCCACCATCCATCCATCCATCCATCCACTCTTTCATCCACCCGGTGCGTCCGTCATGCACGCGGTGGGTCGATCCATCGATCGATCAGTCGCATCCGGCTTCTATCAGCTTCTTGGCGTCGTCTTCCGGCATGTGGGCGTTGCACATGATGCCTGCAGTGAGTGCCACACACACCAGCCAACCAGCCAACAGAGAGAGCGCGTGATTCGATGGATGGATGGATGGATGGCTTGGTGTGCCGCATTTACCTGATCCGAACTCGAATCCCGCGACCGGCCAGCTGTCAAGGCGCGGGAAGATCTCCACGTGCCAGTGGTAGTAACAGCTCGGGTTGTACACCTGAGAGCATGCCATGCCATGCCATGCACCAACAGCACATACATACATCCTTGCAAGAAAGACCCCATTAATTACACCACATGACATGTGACACCAACGTCTCTGTCTTCACGCACCGACGCACCGACGCACCCACAGCCACCATGTATGTATTGTATGGGATTGATATATTGACTGACCTGGTTCCTGGTTCGGTGCAGGTGTGCGGTCCTGAGGACCAAGTTGTAGTCGACGTCGCCGAGCGCTCGGTTGATCCGCTGGAAGACCCGGTGCAGAATGCGCCCGAGGGCGCGCAGCGTGTCGTCGTCGATGGACAGGAACTGGTAGTTGTGGCGCAGAGGCAGCAGCAGAATCTGATACGGGATGTGAGCCGCGAACGGAACTGATTGATGTTCGTGATGAATGGAAAAGGCAACAAAACGCCCACAGACACACACACACTCTCAGACATCCAAGTATCCATCGGCCGATCTGTCTGTCTGTCTGTGGTACTGACTGACCAACAGCGATGAATTGGCTGTCGAGTTCGACGATGCGCACTTCCTCCTTGAGCTCGAGCTTTATGTAGTCGCAGAAGAGACAGCGCCCGTTGGTCTGGAAGTACTCCCTGGCCGTGTCGGTCAGCTTGAGCTGCTGGTTGGGCACTATCGGCAGGCCGATTATCTGCGAGTGGGGGTGCACCATGGAGGCGCCCCCGAACATGCCCACGTTCTTGAAGCACAGGAGGCTCTGGATGAGGGGAGAGGTGGTCAGCAGCAGCCCCCTATCGCGGAATGCCTTGAAGAGCATCTCCCAGTAGACGGGCGTCGTGTGGCCGATGGGCAGGTTGTGGGAGGGGTGGTCCACCACGACCTCGTGGAAGCCTGTCGCCTCCAGCAGCAGCTTACCGCGGGCCCGGGCCGTGTTGAGGCAGTCGACCAGCTCGTTGCACTCCATGCTCATGATTGACGCCGCAAAGGGGTACTGAAGCGACTCGTCGGCAATACAGTTCGAAGGCGCAACCACTGACACACACACACACACACACATCCAGACAGACAGACAGACAGATTGACGGTTGCTGGCTCTGTCTGCGCACCAGGGAATTTGTTGGGCAGCACATACAGCTCGAAGTCGTCCTTTGGGGCACAGGTGGGGTCGTGGTCGCTGGCCCGCAGTGTGAGCAGCTTGGCTGGTAGCTGCCCCTCGTTGCCCTTGCAGAAGGGGCAGTTGGCACTCCACTGCGGGATCTTGCTCTTGTCCATCCCAACCTCTGGCCGCATCTGTTGCGGCCGCTTCCGGCGCTCCACACCCGGGAAAGCTATCCAATCGTTGGTGCAGATGTTGTGGCGGAACGTCGCGAAACACCGAATGCCGGACCGCTGAGTGGGAGGGCTGAGAGGGAGGGAGGGGGGGAGGGAGGGTGACGGGGGAGCGGCTGCAGCGCGCCGAGATGAGGAGCCGCTGCAGCACCGGCGGAACAACATCCGTCGCTCCGATGAGGCAGGGACGATGCAGGTCACGTGTGAGATGAGTCAGCACTATGGAAATCGCTCATGCTGCTTCATTCTTCGTAATTTCTTCTTCTAGAAGTCGTGAATGGGCAGAAGGCGCTTCCCTTCTTGCTCTCCGTCTTCGAGAGCGGTTACACGGAACGTCAGGGTCAAACCCTGCTGCGCCTGCTGTAGGGTACAGGTGCGGAAGCGATGACCGCAGTCAGCTAACCAGCTCACAGGTCGCGAGATGAAACGCCCGAACCCAGATCCGACGCAAGAAGAAGCCAGGTGAACCCAGACAGCAACACCACAACGACCACACACACTCACTGATCTCCCTTGGTTGGCGCTGCGTACGTGCTACATGTGCAGCAAAGTCGCCCGATCTGATGGCGACCCGTCTGCAGCCGCGCCACAAGCACCTCAAGCACCACCACAAGGTCGGTTCGGTTGTGTATCGCTGTCCTCCCACCAATCTGTTTGTCTGTCTGTCTGTCTAATGCATCAGGCGATGTGAGTGCATCAGGTGAGGCCGCATCCGCTGCTGCTGCTGCTGTTGCTGTGTCGGTGTCGCCCGGGCCGGCTCCCATCTCGCCGGGCACCGCCGCAATCAGCAGCCCAGCGATGGAGGCCATGGCGAGGGCAGCACTCCTGGTAGCCAACACACATCAACACCATTCATTATATGCATCTGTCTACCTGCTGCTTGTGAAGGCGCAAGCGGGTGTTCCGAGCACCACTGACAGCAGCACAAAACCTGCAAGGTGCGCATTAGGATCAGGAAACAGAGGCGACCTGCCTGCCTGCCTGTCTGTCTGTCTGTCTGCCAGCCTGTCTTGCTCGGATGCACTCATTAGAATACCCTCCCTGGTGTCTGTCGTTTGCTGCCTGCCCATGTATGTGTGTGTGTGTGTGTGTCAGGAAGGTGTATGTGGGGAACGTGCCGATGCTCGTGACGGAGATGCAGATAAAGCAGTTCTTCAACACCATACTCGACTCACTGCTGCCAAACAAACCACCTGGCGAAGTGGTCAGAAGGAGAAGAAAACAAACGACGGGATGGATGGAGGCAGGCAGGGGCAGACAGACGGCAATGGTTGGTCGATCGGTCGATGGATGGATGGGTGGATCTGGGGGGCAGGTGACGGAGGTGTACCTGAACGCTGCGAAGCGGTTTGCCTTCATCGAACACCGGTCGGTATGCGTTTTTCTGCATACCCTACTCGGCGTGGGGGCTGCGGTTCGTTCATGTGTGTGCTCCGCCTGCTGCGTCTGGTCAGTTCCATCGAGGAGGCCAATTTCACCATCTCCCTCGACGGACTCAACATGGTCAGACAGACAGACAGGGAGGGAGGGAGGGAGGGCAGGCACACGACCGTCATGGCACACGTGTGTATTGATTGCTCTGTGCAGATGGGGTGTTCGCTGAAGCTGCGTCGTCCGCAGGACTACAACGCCACCCTCGCGCAGGCCCAGCTGCAACAGGTACGTGTTAGGTTACGTACGTACGTACCAGAGGGAGAGAGACTGTGAGTGCATTGCATGCGGACCAAAACGACCACAGTGCACTGCACTGCAAGCCATCGGCGTCGGACTCCTTCATTCACATGTGTATCGTATCGTATCGGCTCGATGCGCCACAGGAGATTGCTCGGAGGGGCGGCGTCTCTGTGGTTGCTGGGGCCAAGCCGCTCTCGTCTATCGCGGGCAGCCAGGGTAAATTAAATGCATATATACACGCGACCGACCGAGCGACATCCATGGCTGTCTGTCTGTCTGTCTGTCTGTGGGTGCGTTGGATTGGATACACTGTGTGTTTGTGTTCAGAGATAGTGTCCACGTCGGTGGAGGACAGCCCCAACAAGGTCTTCATCGGCGGCCTCCCACACAACCTCTCGGAGCAAAACGTCAAGGTACCTACCCACACACTACAGCGGACAATGCTACATCCAGAGACGTATCCCTCCCCGGTTTGGTCTTGTCCGTCCGTTCGTCTGTCTGTCTGTCTGTGTGTCTTTGTGCAGGAGATGCTGCAGAAGTTCGGCCCTCTCAAGGCCTTCCACCTCGTCAAGGTCAACCAACACACAAACGAACGCACTGACTGACTGACCCTCTCCCCCTCTCTCTCCGTCCCTCTCTCTCTCTCTCTCTCTGTGCGTGTGTGCATTCAGGAGCGTGAGAGGGACACGTCGAAGGGCTTCGCCTTCTGCGAGTGGCGCGACCCCAACGTCACCGACGTCGCATGCGCCAACCTCAATGGGACCGTCATCGGTAGGGAGGGAGGGAGGGAGGGAGAGGGGGAGTACAGGTGGCCAGCATGCGCGCGGCATCTGTCTGTCTATCTGTCTGTCTGTCTGTGTCTGCGTGTCATGTGCTTGCTGTTCAGGCGACCGTACACTCAACGTGCGCCGGGCGCTTCCTCATGGGGTACGTCAGAGTGGAGTGAGAATATGGCACCAACACATTCATTCAGTACATCCCTGTGTGCCTCATGTGTGCCTCTGTGCGGCTGTAGAGTGCGTCATCGGTTGCGTCTGTGAGCCCGACCACAGTGGCGATTGTGTCAGGGGTGCCCAAGGCCGGCGGAATTGGGTGAGAGTGCGTGTGTCCAGTCCACAGAGCACGACAACACAACACAACGCAGGCCTCGGCCCTCTGTGGATCCATCCATCCATCCACCTATCCGTTGCTGCAGCAAGCCGAGTCGCGTCATGTCGTTCACCAACCTCCTCACCGTTGCACATCTGGTCGGTACCAACACAAACACACACACGACTGCTAACCACCGACACAGAGCTCACCTGACCGACTGTGTGTGTCTCTGTTGGTGCGTATTGTGTCTGTGCCATCCATCCATCAGTCTAGCCACGATGAGATTCGACGTCTGATGGAGTTGGCGCGCGACGAGTGCGCCAAGATCGCCGCCGTGCGTGTGGTCGAGTTCCACAACGGCGCCGTTCTCGTCGAATTCCCTAACGTCAAAGACGCCGCCAGGGCCATCCAGAAATTCCAGAGTCAGAACCAGTGAAGGCGCCTCGATCCGTAACCCTTCTGTTGTCATCTCTCCCTCTGTCTCTCTCTCTGTGTCTTGGTTTATATGTCAGATGGTGTGTTGGACGGTCGCGTGATGCAGGTATCGTTCGCCGAGCTCACCGCAAGCATGCAGCAGGCCGCCATTGCACGTATGCAGCAGGCCGCCGCTGCAGCTTCATCGGCTTCCGCCCCATCGGCCCAACCGGCAGCAGCAGCAGCACCAGCACCAGCACCATCGAGCAGCCCCTCCCCTCCCCCTCCCCCATGCCCATCCAATGGCACCCTGCCAAACGACGCAGCAGAAGAAAGAGGTGGCCAGACGGACGCGGCCCCCAGGAGCAATGGGACTGGCGACAGGCCAGATACCGGGCCGAGCCAAGGGGCGGGGGAGGCCAATGGCGGCGATGGGGCGAACGACAGAGAGGGCGACAAGAGCTGACAGGG